TAACCTGACATTTCTAGCTTACAATCAATCATTTGAAAAAACTCAGCAATGATGCAAAACAACGTTTTTGCCCTCAGTTACCTGTAGTGATTATTTCCTTTTTGCCCCTCATCTTTCTGGGTTGATGAGTGCTCCCTGGTTAAGAGCTACTCCAGTAGCAGGTGACATAAAGCATCAGTTAATTTTGTAGGTGCTGTGGAAATCTGGTCAGTAAAGTAAATCACCATCCTACACATCTTAAGAGGTTGACAGGATAAATGGGGAGAATAATAAACAATGAGAAACAGTGTGAAGTACAGGCATAAAGAAAAAAAAAATTTTAAAAGCCTCGAAAATTTTCTAGGGACAGAAAAACCCGTTAATTTGAAGATATAGTTACTAAACAACAAAATCAAAGTATAAGAATTTGGAGTAGGCAGACTCAGTTCAGTTTGTTACTAAAAATATGGGGAGAAACCAAAGCAAACAGTTCCCTCCTAAATCCCCACGTTCTCAAAGCTAACCAAACAAAACGAGCAACAGAGAAGGGATAATAATTTGCAATAAATTCGAAGGTGCATAGACACTTTGCACAATTCTGATCTCAATCCTTCCTGAATATCTGGGTGTTTCACGTAAAATGAGGGACTGCTTTGATTTTTATCTTTAGCCTCCATGCATCTGGCCAGGAGTGTTTGCTCTCTCTCATCTTGTCAGCATGCCCAGAATGTTTGGTGAATATTACACGGATCCCATATCCTAAAACCTGAGTGCCGGGATGGGGTGGCATACCTTAAATCTGCCTCACTTTAGGACTTGCTAGAAAGCACATTTCTCCAGGAATGTCAATTTTCCCTCTGCTTCAACAGGGCAAAGGGCTGGGCACACAGGTAATGCCCAGCTCATGGACTCAGGCAGGAAGCTCGATGGTTAGGAAGGTTGGGTTCCAGCTCCTGTTTTTTTGTTTGAGTCCCTGACATATTGTTTTTAATGTGAAATTTCTCTAAGAAGTAGCTCATGGAAATAACTTTAAAGTTTCAAGAACTTCTGTTTGGTAGGGGTAAGACGTTTCCAATTTCAGAGACGGTTATAAAAAAACCACAACAAATTTCAATCACTTTAATAGACACTTTAAAGGCAATTTATGATAGCTGTAGCCCACCAGTGACTAAAGCTACATTGAACTTTCTGAGTTGAAACGTTCATCGTTGGATTCAGGAAAAGTCCTCTCAACAATTTTGAAAAATACTAAAAATATGGCAGCAATTGTAAAATCACTTTCACTTGTGCAATATCCTTTTTATGAATGTCTCCAATTACACAGCTAGGATTACAGATTTTCGCAAACACAGTTACATTTTTGATAGGTATGTGGCTGTAATTCCAGGCTGCTATTTCACTCTATCGAAAGGTATGGGGCTCTCTTCCTCCTGTTGCTTAAACCATGCAAGAAAAGTCAAGGAATTAGAGAAAGGCAAAACAGAGGTAGAGACTGTATTCAAATGGCTGAAATCCACCACCTGATAAAAAGTAAGTTGGCAATCATGGGGTTACCTCCCCGCTCCACGTCCTCCATCTGTGCAATGGGCTGACGTTCCCTGTCTGCGGAGGGTGCGGGAAGACGGCCTCAGCTCGCTGCATAGACACCAAGGAAACTGCCAGCTGTCAGGGACTTAGAATTCTTGAACGCTTTTTGGCTTCTCCAAAGAAGCAGATGCAAACCTACTCCGTGTCGATTTGCCTACTAGAAGCGTCAGGATACGCTCACGGGGCTCAGCAGTGCTTACATTTTTGGATTATTAGCTTTATGGGGTTATTTGGGGTGGGGGTGGGGCTCTCAGCGATAGATTGCAGAAGAGAGGGGGCGGGGGACAAGACGGGGAGAAAAGGAGTCGGCGAAGAAGACAGGAGTAAGAGATAAGCAGGGGGTGGAAACCCCGGGAGGGAAAGCAAATGCCGGAGGCGGGGAGCGGAGCCAGAGGAGTGAGGAGAGGTCGGGCGGGACCGGGGCTGCGCCGGCAGGGAGGCCGGGTTGGGCTCGGTTTGAGCGTGCCACAGAGCCCGGGCCGAGCGCCCCGCAGCCTAGCTGGGTTCCTCCCTCGACCCGAAAACTCGGCCAATGGCCACCTGAGCCCATGGGGGGCGCCTGGGGAAGAGTCGCAGGGATGCCGCGCTCCGCCGCCTTCCCCGCGGGTTCGGTCCGACGCGCACGGACGAGACTGAGCCCCGGACCAGGTCACCCGCCTGCCAGACGCTTTCCGTGGCGTTGGGATGGCAGGCGGGAGGAGAAAGCGCCGCCTGGGGCCTCCCTGAGCGCCGCGGGCCGGGCTAGGGGCTGGAGGGCGGCTGCGGGCCCGGCGGCTGCGTCTTGCGGGAGATGGCGGGCCCGCTACCCCTCCGACTCGGGTTGTCTTCTCGGCGCCCCCAGGTCGCGGCGCTCTCGGGGTCCGGCGCCGACCGGCACGTAGCACCCCGGGGCCGAACCCGGAGGGAGGCGTTCTCCGTGCCGCTACTTCCCGCACTTCGACGGCTTGGAGAGCACAGTTCCCTCCCGGGGCGCGGGCCCCGACAGCCCCGCAACCTATCCGCCGCGGCCGGGAGGAGGCCGGGCGCCGGCTGGTAGGGGCAGTACCCTAGAAACGCCTCCTCGCGTTCTCTTCCCGGGCCAGGGCCCTAAACTCCCGGAAACCCGCGCAGGAGGGGGCGGGGAAGACAAAACAGCACAAGCTGTCCAGGCCGCCGCGCTGCCTGCGAGCCTCGTTGACATGCCAGGCCCCGGGGTGTCGCCTCACCCAGCGCCTCGAGGGGATGGCTGCCAGACTGGACGTCTGGAAAGTTTCACGGATTCTCATCATTTCTCCTTAGCTTTGCACAGGAGGAGATGCCCCCTCCCCTCAGAGAAAGAGGCCGCGCCTGCACCCAAAGGTAACCCTCCAATGACCCGGGGAATGGGGCCGGCCCGCGAGCCAGAGGTTTCTTTTGCATCAGAGAAACACGGCGGCATCAAGGAGAAATAGCGTCCAGTAGGCCTGGGCCTAAAACTAAGTTAAAAAAAAAAAAGTTTTAAATTGTCTACTTTGCCTGTTTGCTTCTATTTTAAAAATTAGTAACCATTTCTTAGTCGTACAAGGGGTCAGACGTCACAGACGGGTCGCCCTATGTTGGCGTCTACTTTGCCTTCTGTTTCTGGTTTCGCCCGCAGTCCTCCCAGCAGTCTCCACATACACTGTTCTGTTCCCTGGTCCCCTTGCAGTGAAATCGGATTTTTCTCTTTGGGCGGCTCTAGGTCAAGCAAGGTAGGCAGCAGCGCCTGGCTGTGCCAACGATTAACGGAGGGCGTTTCCCACAGTAAGGTACAGTCCCTGCCGGGCCCACGGCCCGCTGATTTCCATCCCAGTGTCGTCGGCCTGTTCACTTTCTCCTAAGATTATACCACTAATAGTCATAATAATAATAACCAGGGCACAAACTGCTTTTGAGAAGTCATTTACAATAACTTCTGGGCCGTGAGAGACACACACACACATAGGTGGACATATGTTTTGTTTTTGTCAGAGGGGCACAGAATTGCCTGAGTTTTAAAAAATGATCTATTTACAGACTTGGTAATGCCTCCGAAGAAATTCCGTTTATGGCCCAATAGCTGTGACAGGGTTAGAAAACCAGTTTAAACTGTTAATCGGCCACAGAATAAGGGCCCCAGATTGAGGCCTTTCACTTACCTTTGAAAGGCTATAAAAGCGACGCTGTACATTGGGATGAAATTAGACGGTAACAAAATCATTACCTTGACTTCCCACAATAAAGACAGCCTTTAAAAAGGGGCTATTGATGGTTTCAAATTACATAACGGTGGTTTATAACTTCTTCCTCTGGGCTCACAGAAAGCAATTTTAAAGTGTGAATTCTTCAAAGAACAAACAGCCACTCGCATTCAAACACCGACATGCAGCTGCCTTTTTATTTTTTGCAAAGAGGCTATTAGAAAAAAGAGCGAGCGGAAAAACAAAAATCAAAACCCAGCAAAAGCAGGAGGAACCCAGAGAGAATCATGTCCGGTTTATGATGTCGGGGCTCACCCACACTCGGCCCGGGAGCTCGGAGGGTCAGCCTCTCCCCCGGGGCGGGGCAGGGAGTGGAGTCATAGTCCTGCGGGGGAGAAAAATCCCGCGCGTGTCACCCGTTCCCATCTGTCTGCTGCTTCTGCGGATTTAAAACCCAGACACAGCCTTCCCTAGGCTAGAAAGAACACACCACCAAGCTCAGGGGTGGGATGGGCCTGGGGCCACGCCGGAGGAGTGCGGGAGGGAGGGGGGCTGACCTTTCGAGCCAGGACCCAGCCCCAGGTGGCATCTGTATTTTCGCGAGTTCCCGCCCAGGCTGAGAAAATCCCCTCAAATCCCATCCTCAGAATATGACCCCACCATTACGCGCAAGGCCTGCAAAAACCCGACGGGGCACCCCGTCACCCCAGCTTACGCTTCTCTAGGACCAAGTCAGTGGTCGAAAATCAACCAGACGGCAGCTGTCTTTAGTGAGCAAAGCCTTTCAGGACGCCCGCACCGAGCGCGGCGCGCAGAGGGAAAGGACCGTGCCCCTTTAGCATATTACAGCGAGGGGGCTGTAGGGTCAGGGGCGCTCTGGGAGGGACTCTGCGGCGTATCTGAGAGACCGAGGGAGTGGATGAGCGCGCGGCCCCGGCGGCAGGCTGAGAGGCTCGGCCGCATTCGCTGCGCAGCACTGCCCCCTGGCACACGGCGCCGAAACTGCCCCGCTCGGCTGCGGCGGCGGCGGCAAAACGTCCCCCTCTTTGGCTCCCCGACAACCTACTCTCCTTTTCTGGCACAGGCCCTGGCAGGAAAGCAGTCCGAAGGCCTGCGCTCAAAGCTTTGCTACCCCCTCAAGCACCCACCTCCCCAAAGAGGGCCCAGGGGCCGGGCTGCCTGAACCAGAGGTCCGCGCGCCTTCCTGACTCCCCACCCAAGTCCCAGTGGACGCCCACCGGGAAAGCGGTTGAAGATATGGGGCCTGAAGATGTGGAGACTCTGACTTCAGGCCTGGGCGCGCAGAGGTGGCCTGTGTACAGAGACTCCTTTGGGTTTGGTTCATTATTTAATGAACGCCAGCTTCCAGAGCATCTATCTATGGCACCTGAGCTTGCCACAGAATAAATGAAGCGGGTGGTGGGGCCCGGCCCCTCCCCGCACCCCCTAGGAGGTGAGCTGCCTGAACCTCGCCCCGGTGACCCAGCCCAAGAACATCTGAGAAATGGAGGAAAATTTGGCTGGAGCTCTACACTCCAGGGCGTGATCCGCGAGGCTCTGGCTGTGGCGGGGCCCAGAGCGGCCCCACCCCCAATCCGGCCCAGCCCACAGCTTTCTACCAGACCTGTCGGCTCCCCAAGGGAGAACAGGCTTCCTGAAGGCTCTTGGAGGAACGCTCGCCCTTCTCCAAGCCACCCAAGGCACCAGATGCCAGCGTGGGCAGAGGGGTCTGGGTCCCAGGATGCATCCAGCCTTTCCTACCCGAATTGGATGGTTCATCCTAGGCTTTGGGGCTGGGCCCCGTGGACAGATAGGTGTTTAGACCAACTGACGTAGGGAAGGCAGGGGCGCTTCGGAGCCAGATCAACCCAGGTTCCAGCGTGGCCACCCACTGGCTGTGACTTGGGCAAGTTACTTCATCTCTCTCTGCACCAGTTTCCCTGTTTGGTTTTCAGAGATGCTGTGAAGATTAACTGAGGTATTGTCTGTCCAGTGCCGGCATGTGGTCAGTCAAGGTCGCTGTGAATGATTGCTGGAACTGGCTGCAGGAAGCGTTCTGAAGTGTGAGCGCCCACAGCACTGCTCTGGGGCCTTCAGGCCTCCAGTTTTCCGGAGAGGAGGAGACAACACTGTCTTAGACCAGAAGGCAGCACGCGGGAGGCCCCAACGCCCCGGTTCTCTTTCGCCAGGGCCCAGGCCATCCGCACGCTCAGGACTCCGCACACGTCTCAATCTGGGAAGTGAGTCGTCCTCGCCTGATTGCATCTGGCGGAAAAACCGGTAACTCCGGGCCCAATAACCGTCAGGTATCCAGGCTTAACCTGCGCCAGGCAGGCGCTAAGCGCTGCATTCACAATCCCGTTTCCTCCTCACAACTATCCTACAGAAGTAATTGTTTAACATTTTTAAATCTCCATTTTACAGAACAGGAAACTGAAGCTCAGAGAGGTTAAGTAACCTGCCCCAGATTACACAGTCGGAATTTGAACCGCGTCTTCTTTCAGAGGCCAAGCTCTGAACTACTAAATTGTGTGTGACGTTAGAAAGCCTGCTTCCACTCACACTCTACCTGCTCTAAACCTCAATTTCCTCTTCCCTGCCGTCGAAGGTGAGCTGCCTTCCGGGCAGCCCGGCAGTGGAGCGCACTTTACGCGCCCGGCTAGTCCAGGGGCGTGCTGAGACCCTCTTCTCGCCCCCCCTCGATCTCTGGTCTCCTCGACCCCCGCAGGGCGGACTGATTGCCCCGCACCCCACAAGCCAGGCCCCCGCGCCAGGGTCCGGGAAGAAAGCCCTCCTCTGCTCTCCCTGGAGGCTCAGATTACCGGTCCGGGAGGCACCACTTAAGTCGCTCACAACTGCTAGGTCCCGGGGAGGCGGCGGTCGCCGGCTCCCCAACACTGTGCGGGGACTCCCTCATTCCCCCCTGAAACGGAAACTCGCCAGGGCCGAAGCCGGGTGTATTGCGTGTAAGTCGCCGGCTGCCGGCGCAGGCACCACACCGAAGAGGCCAGCAATTACCGAGACCCGAAAGAGGGGACTTGGATTTGGGGTTCCTGAGCCGGCTGCTCCTTCACGCTGTCTCTGCACTTATCAGTCGGTAAATACTTACTGAGCGCCTACTGAGTGCGGGCGCCTGGCCCTCTGCCCCAGGCCAATCCCGGGGGCCTACTCTCTGACCTAACCCCGGCCCTCCCGGGGTGGAGCTGAGGGCGCCCGCAGCGCGGGTGGCATCCCGCATCCGGTGCTCCACGGCCCTCTCCCGCCCTTCACCTTCGCTCCGCCTGCCGAGACCCGCCGGCCGCGCGCCGCGCTCAGCGCCCCCTGGTGGCAGGAAGCTGCGCGCCACCTCCGCTTTGTGGGCTCAGGGCTCAGCCGCTTCCCACCGCCCAGGGCGCACTCCCAGCTCCAAAGTCAGTGGCCATCCTTGTCCCCAGATACCGTCCGAAGGTCATTCAGGGCTTTCCCTGGCTGGCGGGGGCTGCGCGGCTGCCCCAAGCCCGCCACCTTCTCCAGCAGCAGGCCTGGCTCTCCCTGATTAGAGACGATCCATGCCAGCGAATCTGCTTTTTTCCTGGCTTCAACAGGACTCTAGGCCACTCCAAGATAGGCACTATGGTTGAGAAAAGAAACAAAGCAAAACAGAACACGAAAAACCCATCCAAGTTCATGGGCGAGAGAGAGAACTGTGTATATCTCGATTTTTAAAGTAATTTCTCCATCCTCAAAAACACCCTGCCTCCCTCTACCTGCACCCTATCTTATGAACAGGAGAGGCAACTATGCACAGCCTTCTTGGGAGTCACGTGTGTCCCTGAGGCCATCTGCCCACGTCTGTGTGTGAATGGGCAGTCTCTCCCTCGGAAATCCCACTGGGTAGACGTGAGGGGAAGAGGTGACTTGTTTGAACCCAAATTAGGAAAACGCAGCTGAGACCACTTCAAAAACCCAATGAGGGAGCAAGAAACCCGCACTGCTCACCCTGACAGTGCTAGGTTCTAGACCTGCAGGGCACGGAGTTCAGTACCTGGCTCATGTTACTTTATTTCAGTCTCAGAAAGACCCTTTGAGGGGGTTCTTATTACCTTACTACACCCTCCCATCCCATTATTATCTTTTCACCTGTATACGAATGTTTACAGCAGGACCATCCATAACAGCTAAAAGGTGGAAACAACCCAAACTGTCCACCAACCAACCAGCGGATAAACAAAATGTGGCACAGCCATATAATGGAACACTACCCAGCCATAAAAAAGAAGGAAGCACTGATAAATGCCACAACCCTTCTCATTCATTTTTACAGATGAGGAGACTGAGGGCCTAAGTGACAGTCCCTGGGTAGTGCAAACGTTTAACGTGCTTGCCTGCTGACTAAAAGTTTGGCGGTGAGCCTACCCAGAGGCACCTTGGAAGAAAGGCCTGGCAATCTACTTCTGGAACAAACGCAAGGGAGCACAGTTCTACCCTGACACACATGGGGTAGCAACTGGTTTCCTTTGCAGAGTTAGTTAAGGCGGGGAACTGGAAACCAAACTCAGGCATTCAAGTCTCCAGTGGATCTCAGTGCTGTTCTGAGGGGCATGGGATGTTAGACATGAAGGAGTGGACTCCAGAACATACCCCAGAACTTATCTGCTTGGGAAAATACTTTATGGAAAATTTTAAACATAGACACAAGAAAAGAGAATAGTGTTACAAACCCCTATGTACCCATCACCAGCCTCCAGATAATGAACTCACTGCCAATCTGGCCCTTCCATCCCCCATTCACCAGAATGTGTGGAAGCAAACCCCAGACATCATGGGACTTAATCTACAAACACTTTCAGTACGTATTGCCAAAAGACAGTCACATTACCAAAACCACAAAACCATCAACACAACCACAGTGCCAAAACACACCCAAAAATCTACATTCCTAAGCATCATGGAACATGAAGTCAGTTGGAACAAAATTCTAAACAAAATTAGAGCTTCTTGGTTATCATGTGGGTTTCAGTTCTAGGGCCAGAAGGACCTGGATTTGAATCTTGATTTTGTCACTTTCTAGCTGAGTAACTTGGGGCAAATGACCTACCTTCTCTAAGTGTCAGTTTTCTCTCCCATTAAAGTAGTGCCTACCTCACACAGTTGCTACAAAGATTTAAAAAATATATATAATGCATGTAAAGAGTTTAGCATAGGCCAGGGAATGATAAGTTATCTTGATTTGTCATGGATTGAATAGTGTCCCCCCTAAAATATGTGTCAACTTGGCTAGGCCATGGTTCCCAGTATTGTGTGGTTGTCCTCCATTTTGTGATCCGATGTTATTTTCCTATGTTGTAAAAATGTTGTAAATCCTCATCTCTGCTTGTGGTTAATGAGGCAAGATCAGGTTATGTTAAAGAGGATTAGGGTGGGATGCAACACCCTTACTCAGGTCACCGCCCTGATCCAATGTAAGAGGAGTTTCCCTGGGGTATGGCCTACATCCCCTTTCATCTTACCAGAGATAACGGAGAGAGAATCTAGCAGAGAGGTGAGGGACTTCATGCCACCAAGAAAGAAGAGCTGGCAGCAGAGCACATCCTTTGGACCCAGGATCCCTGCAATGAGAGGCTCCTAGACCAGGGGAAGATTGATGACAAGGACCTTCTCCCAGAGACAACAGAGAGAGAAAGCCTTCCCCTGGAGCTCGCGCCCGGAATTCGGATTTCTAGCCTCCTAAACTGTGAGAGAATAAATTTCTCTTTGTTAAAGCCATCCACTTGTGGTATTTCTGTTACAGCAGCACTAAATAATTAAGATATGATTATTTCTCCTAAAGCTAGAGTCCAGTGAGATCCTAGTTACCGAAGGTTTGAAAAACGGGTTTGAGTTGGAACATCAAAAGTTTCAAATAGCTCAAGGATGAGACTGGACTCTGGGACATTATTGTGAGGTCAACTTTGAATCCCGGGAGAGGTGATCTCACAAATGAGTGTTAGGTGTGGTAGAAGGCTGAATTAGTGGGCATGAATTAAGGCACTGGGGATTAGAATGCCAGGGTTCTCCAAGGACCCTTTCGGGCCTAACAATCTTCTTGTGTTTGTCTTTAGTAGGGTTGCTCTGTCTCACTTGTACCTGGCACATGTGGTCAGTGATGCCTGCTGAATAATGGTTGACAAGCTCCATGCCATCACCTGGCCTTTGCACAGGCTGTTCCCTCTGCCTGGGACATTTGTGCCCTTTCTCCTTGCCTAGTTAACTCTTACCCTCTCTAAATGGGTCACATTCTCCTATGTACGTGTTCAGAGGACCATGTACCTTCTCTTCACAGAGTTTATCTCTGTTAAAACTTCACATTTGTTTGATTATGAGGTTGTAAGCTGTAAGCTCCATGAGAGCAGGAATCATGACTGTTTTCATCGCTATGTCCTCAGCACTTAACATGGTGTATAATTACTGAACAACTGTTTTTAAGGCTAGATTCAGAAACTAATTTAACCCTAGCCCTAGCCCTAATCAGCAGTCACCTTCAGTCATTGTGATGGTTAAGGTTGTGTGTCAACTTGGCTTGGCCATGATTCTCAGTGATCTGGCACTGATGTGATGATGTAGATATCCTCCATTTGTGATATAATGTAATCACCTCCATGATGTGATCTGACATGATCAGCCAATCAGTTGTAAGGGAGCTTCCTCAGGGGTGTGGCCTACATCCAATATATATGGACATACTGGCTTTTGCTCGCTCTGGACCCTGCATCTGGTTCATCATCATCTGGCCTCCAGTTCTTGGGACCTGAGCCAGTGGCCTGCAGTATTACCTGCTGATCTTGGGATTCATTGGCCTCCACAGCCTGTGAGCCAGCAGCCTGCTGTCTTATCTGCCAATCTTGAATTCATCAGCCACCACAGCCTGTGAGCCAGCAGGCTGCCATCTGACTTGCCTATCTTGGGTTTGTCAGCCCCTGTGGCTATGTAAGGCAAAAGAAGTCTCCAGCCAACACCTGATCCACAGACTTGCAGCTTGCCAGCTTCTACAACCATGTGAGCCATTTCCTTGAGATAAATCTCTCTCTCTCTTCCTCTCTATAGATACGTATATACATGCTTCACTAGTTTTGTTTCTCTAGAGAACCTGGCCTATGGCAGTCATAGTAGATAACTAATGCATGCATTATTCCAATATGCTGTATAAGCAATTAGCCTCCAAATGCACTACTAGATAAGCTGTTCTAAAGGTGATGAGATACAAAGGCTCACAGACCAAATTAAGAGGCTTGAATCAGAGAGATTATTAAATAAAATGTACAGCAAGAGGCAAGAAGAAAGAGAGGCAAACCCACTGCATATACCATATGCATACAATAGACAAACAGGTGGGAGGACCACTACCTGAATCATGGGCTATGCAATGTTCACATGTCCTCCCCACCCCAACCCCCCCACCGACATTAACCTCACCCTAATGTGGTTATAAGGAAGGGCCAGAATTAAGAGTGAATACGGGGGCCCAACAGATGGAAGGTGCCTGAGGCAACACGCACATTGGCTGTTAGATGGACAGCCTCGGGCAAGTTCACCTGGCTGCAGCAGTAGCTCATCCATTAGCCTGCTGAATAGCTATGGGCTTGTCTGTGTTTCTTGGGGAGACCAGAATGGGACCATAATCGGTGTCACCAATGGGTGGCTGATTTAGGGAATAACATAGCTGTCAGCCCTGAGATTGATCATACTTTATAACTTGGTCTTTTTACCTCTATCTGGTGGTGCACTTGTTAAGAGCTCAGCTGCTAACCAAAAGGGTGGCAGTTTGAATCCACCAGCCACTCCTTGGAAACCCTATGGGGCAGTTCTACTCTGTCCTATAGGGTCACTATGAGTCGGAATGGATTTGACGGCAATGTTTTTATTTTTTATCTGTCTGTAAACAGCACTCTTGTTCGTTCTATCATACTGTTGTTAGCTGCTGTTGAGTCAGCCCCCAACTCATGGCAACCCCGTGCACAACAGAACAAAATGCTCCCCAGTCCTGCACCATCCCTGTGATCATTGTGGACTGGACCATTGTGATCCATAGGGTTTTCACTGGCTGATTTTTAGAAGTAGATCACCAGGCCTTTCTTCCTAGTCTGTCTTAGCCTGGAAGCTCCACTGAAACCTGTTCAGCATCATAACAACACACAAGCCTCCTCTGACAGACGAGTGGTGGCTGCACATGAGGTGCACTGGCCTGGAATCGAACCCAGGTCTCCTGAATGGAAGGCGAGAATTCTACCACTGAACTACCAATGCTCCCTCGTATCATATATTCCATTTATTCTACCCATCTTTAACATGTCACATAGGGTACTGACTTATTACCCATGTAAATTCTGCCTATGTTTTGCAAGCTACCTCTTACTCATCTATACTTAACGCATCTTGTATATTTTTCTTACAT